GTATTTGCACCGACCTTCCGACAAGTGCTTGTCCAGTCAATTTCCGTCTTACTCGCAACTCCTACTGAACGATGGCGCACGGCAAGTTATGGCAGCTGAGGTAGGCGACTTTCGTGAGCTGAGCAAGCGTCATTTGCTACTATTCGGAGAAGGAAGCGCGGCGTACTGAGACTTACTTATGACTTTAAACCTGCCACGGCTTCCGTTTTGGCACGTCCCCAGTCCTCCACGCACCACAACAGCCCTGCGCAGCTCTCGCACAGGATTGCAGGGACATCGGAGGCCTGGCAGGATGGATACACACGGGACGCCGCGAGCAGACGAATCGGTCTAAGAAGTGAGGAATCGCTTGAAGCGATTCGCCTGAAGCAGGCGAATTGCTTCAAGAGGCTCCTTCGTGTCGTCGTGGAGCCGACAGAGGTTGAACGCCATGGCACCGAGCTGCGCGTTGCTTGAGGGATGAGGTGGGAAGGCGAGAACTTAAAAAATAGCGTTGTTTTGTTATCATTTTTGCTTCATCACCCATGTTTCACACGTTTCTAACGAACTCACCATTAGGCGACCCCTCCAAGCCGACCAACGGTCGCGACTGTCGGCGAGGGCGACGAATATTTCCTCAGACGAAAATCCTAAACAGAAATACAAAAAAGCCCCCCCGAAAATATAAACAGATTAATTTTTATTTTGCGTTTCTCGGCTGCGTCCGTTCGTGGATCGGCTCCCCTTTTGATCCTTAGCTTTTTGCGGTTTTCTTCTTTAGCTGTTTTTGTGTATGCAGTCTTTTTGTACCATTGACCGGATTATTGTTTACTCTGGCTGCTAGAAACTATTTGTCGCGAGATACTTCCCCGTACATGACAAAATAACGAAGGCTTTGTTGACGGAAAATATACAGGCCCATTGGGAATCATCCCCGTGAGGTAATGAAGCGCGCTACATTCTGTACACAATTCCCACTCCGCACAAAAGTCGGTGCACAAAGAAACATAAACAAAATCAGACCGCCGCGTACAAACTGTGCATTGCGTATACAATACCGTTATCGTACGGTAAACAGTAGATTAGACAGTCTATTAGATGTGTCAATGATCGACTCAGAGAGAGTTTGCTATATAACAGAACTTCCCCTGAGGGAAAGTGGGGAGTTCACTGTGACGGGTTTGGGTACGCCACTAAGTTTAAAGGGGTGATGATGCGCCACAACAATAAAAAACAAGGAAGATTACTGAAATATTTTAACATATCACAATGTAAGGGCGTGTGTCAGTGTGCCCTCTATGGCCTTGTTCCAGAAAAACGTTGAGCATCTTAGCAAATCGGAGCCTGGTGTGTGTTAACATCGGTGTGATCAATTATTCGAGAGTTTCGCGGCTTTCGTGCTTTCTTTTTGTACCAATAAAAAGTCACTTCTTAGTCGGAGCCTGGTTTGTTTGTCTAACAACTTTAATATGAGTGTGCAATTACATATGTGTACACAGGAGAATTAATGACTCTTTCAGCAATGGTTTAGAGCTGGGTGGTATTTCTTATTTCTCTGACTTAATGACTGCGCTAAGAATTTTCTTCCTAAAAAATAATGAAACGGTCAGTCTATTAAGAACGCTTCTTATTATAAGCTACAATGGGGCGGTAAAGTGTTCCACTTTAGCTTCTTCTGTGCACCCTGTGACAAAACCCCCCACCGGCATATTCTCTAGTGTTTCAATGCACTTGGCAAAAGGTTGAATAGTATTGGTGTTTTGTTAAACCGTGTCAGTTTGTGCTTTGTGTAACATACCCGTATTGTCCTTTTTCTATCAACCGATGAGCCATTTGTTGAAATGTTGCCATGTTTGTTTAAAGAAGTAGCCTGATTAGAATCCACTGTGAATTTGTTTCTAATAAGACTTTTGAATGCGGTTTTCATATTTAACCGCTTCAGCGACGATCTCTTGTACAACAACAAGGCCCTGACATCACGCCGCTCTGGTAACGATGCTCTTGGCAGGACTTATGCGCAAAGGCGCCTCTTCCCACGAATCTGGTCCTTGCGCATCAGCAGTGCCCAACTTCGTGTGGACTTGTTTGTAAAAAGCGCGTTGGCAGATAGAACTTTTCTACGTCGCCACGTAGGCAATGCCGATGCGTGGTGCAGTGCAATAATCCAGGTTGTGTAACGCGGCTTCGTTAGCTAAAATAAAAAAAAAAACGAAAAAAAAACGAGAGACGTTTGCAAAACTGTAATGCGAAACTAGAACGCAGCTCTTGAAGGGGAAGAGGGGAGGGTACGGGTAAGGAAAAAATGCCCCTCCTCCTCCTCTTTCGTTCCTCCTCTCCTCCGCCTCCTCCATCTCATGTCCTCCTCCTCTCCTCCTCCCCTTCCCTCCGCCTTAATTCAACACCTCCTAGAAGACAAGGCTATAGCGCTCTTCTCGTGACGTCGCAAAGGAAGGCTATCGGGGCGCGCGTCGAAGCGAAGGCAACGCGCGTGGATCGACCGTCGTAACGCGTTTTTAGTCACATACGTGCGTCATATTAGCTAAAATGAAAGCTGCCCATAACAACGGGTCTAGAAAACATTTTACTACACGAGCAAAATATTACACCGCTAAATAATCGGTACGAAATGGCACGAGGTATGCGTAAGACGTCTATAGAAAAATGTGATTCTTTTAAGTCGAAAACATTGAGTTATGCAATTATTGTTGTAGGAATGCATATTTTATACAGAAACACTTCGACAAAATGGCGAGACACGCAGTGATTTGGAAACAGCAAAACAGCACAGTTAAAAATCAGGTAGACGTAGTAAACGCGGACAAGGCAAGACAAGTGTTTCTCACGATCATGTAAGCGACTTTATCGCGTGAAGTCACTGAATTCTTGCATCATACCGCGGCCACATGGCAAAATTAATGTAATTTCGATCGAATGACATTATGGGGTCAACAAATCCACTTGCGGCGCTCGTATAATCACTCAAGACCGCGAGCTGATTAAATCCTATATGACTGATTGAAAATATGTTAACTTTTCCGTGTGGCAGGGGTACTAAACGTACTACTTAGTCTACTAATTTACCTCTCCCTATGGGCTCGAGCTGCCTTAGAACAAAACATAACTTATTTTGTATATAATGATACTATTACCTTAATAGTTAAGATTCTAGTATAAACGCGGTAAAGGCAATACAATAACCTTAGTGTAAATAAACACAGAACCACAAACAACGCACTTTCAATAATCACACAAACTTGTTATTTACCTTCCAGTAAAAACTAGATTACCGCGCATATTTACAAATGTCGACGCAACTGCATACGAATAACGGCGAAGAACAAAGTTGCAATCTATCATGTGATTAAAAAAAAAACAATTGAAGCATTTTACTTGCGCTCTACATGACCAGGAAAGCCCGTAAATAAGTTGTTTCTCTCCTGTAGATCGTATCCATACGTCTTACAATATCCGTGACGAACACATTTGAACACGAACCCCAAGAAGCCTCTCTCTGTTGAGAGAGGTCTATCGATTAATCGACCAGAGTCTTCGTTGGCTAGTTGTCACACATGTCACTCAAACCGTAGCAGGACTTGTTTCACGAATCCACGTAAATGCCGTAGTATCAAGCGAACACAAACAAAACTACCCGAGACTACGGTGATGACAGAAATACGACGGGAAACAAGTCTAAAAAGTACCACACACGAGAGCAGCGGCGACGAAAGGCTCAAGGTTGTCGACCCATCTCTTGCTGGTGTGCGCTCCCTGCGACAATGACTGGATTTCTCCTCGGTTTCCTTCCCTTCTGAGATGTCTCAGCGTTCGTTTTCAGACAGTCAGCAGCTCACACACAACGTAAATTTACCAGAATTGGAGCCATGTGGCATCGGCAGCATCGCAGCCGGTCCTTTCGAAAAGTTTGGGGTGCTGCGGAACTGCACGTAGTCCCGCGGTTACGGGGATACTCATAAATATAAATTTGGTACTCTCAACCTTGGTAGCGCGTTGTATATTACGTTTATATTATATATATAATAAATTGTGCAAGACTGCGCCTTTAAAACGTATATTAATGTCTGATAAACGCGCATGAACGAACACCACCGCGCCACTTGTCAAGAAACATTTTTTTTCACGTCGATAGCGTATTCTCACGTAGTTGCGCCATGGACTTCCTTCCTCCGCCATTGTGACGTAACCTCTCAGAGCGCTATGGCCTCGTCTTCTAGGAGGTGTTGCTTAATTCCTCCTCTTCCTTTCCTACTGCCGCTGAATTTGTTCATGAGTGACGTGACACGAAGTGACGCCATTTTGCAGTTCAGTCCAGCTGGGAAACTGAATTGGAGTTCAGGTCACGTGACGTCAATTTTAGCAGTAAATATAGCGGGGAATCTTAACCCGCTAAATTTAGTGACGATAATTAACCCGCTAAAATTAGCGGAAAAATGTTTACGCTATGCTTAGCGTAAAAAAAATTCCCTCTATATTTAACGCGAACATTTCCCCGCTATCTTTAGAGGGAAACTTAATCTGCTAAATCTAGTGGGAAAACTGTGACGTCCCATGATGCAACTCTCGCGGTTATGTCGACGCCGACGCCGCTCAACCCAAGAACGGGCGCTTCAGAACTGCGCTCTAAAAAGGAACGCCTCGCAACAAATTACATTGATTGAGCCCCGAGTGCATGAATTATAAGTAGTTTTTTCGCAGAGCAATGCAACTTCCATAAGCCGTACCAACCACTGAAATTCATCTGAAAACAACAAATGCACACAGCGTGTTCTTAGCACCTGTGTGCACACGTGTTGTTCTGCTAGCGCGACCGTATCATAAATTCCAGCCGCATAAACAGAATAAATCCCCCTCCCCCCCCCCCCCCCCCCCCCCCCGAATCTCACCGGAAATGATATTGTAGGACAACGCGATGCGCTCAAGCCTCATTTTCGCCTTAGAGTACGTACTGTGATCAACTGTTGCCTCTGACGCGTACTTGGTTGTAATTAACGCTTGCAATCAAGATGCTCTTGATTCGCGCTCGAACCGTGGTGAATCCTCTCCGCCGCATAGCTAGAATATCGAGTGAAACAAATCACTTCAAACGGTAAGTCAGACAACCTCTGCTTATTGACGCATCTAGTTTTTAGTGCCAATGACATAATGAAATGGTAGAAAGGTGGTAAGCTGGGCAATACTCATGAAACACGGGCAACTCGAATGCTATTTACAACGAATGACGCTTGCGTGATCGGCGAATCAGCTCGCAATCTGTCGCGCGAGTGGAATGCGCGACGCCCGGAGTGTCGCGGGCTGATTGGCCGTCCGCTCAAATGTCATTCGTCGTAAATGACATTCGAGTTGCCCCTGTGGCACGGGTATTAGTTGGCATAAAGACGCGTGGAACCTAACTGCATGCGTGTTTGTCCTCGTCTTTTGTAGGCTGTTAGGTTTCAGATGATATAGCAAATATAATTAAAATCCGATTTTTGATTGATCTGTGTGCAAACACGCTAAGCTGAACTCTCGTAATTTGTCACAATGCTCTGCGTTCTAGAAAACGCGCTATGTGGACTTGAAAATAGCTCTGAATACAGAGACTCCAATAATTTTATTTCAAAATTAACACCCTCACGTTGTCATTTTGATATTCGAAATGTGAGCATAGTTATTGATCGACTGCACCGAGATTGAATGACTCACCTTCGCAGCATGAAAGGGTTGTAGCTTTAACTGGTCTTAAGATATCAGTGCGGTTACAATGATGTAAAAGCGCCCCTAGTCTACAAGTTCTTCCACTGCCTATTACGTTACAGCTACGGAGGCATTTAGCATCCATCTCATTTGCTGCTACGAGGTCCTCTCGACGCAGATTAAAACCTAATATGTTCCGAGTAATCAAATTACTTGTAATCACTCACATTCATCCGTAGCTTTGTAACTGCACAAACTACGTATATTTTAGACATTTTACAATGTGTGGCATTTCCAGAGTCAAGCAAACGCTCCGTTGCACATGTGTAGTGCCACTGTTTTAACTGGCTTTGCTGTCAAAAACTAGTGAGTCGTCTGCACCGCGGCGTAACCAAATCTCGGCATCGTCGGTTTCAGGCACGAGTTGAGAGAGCGAAGCTCCCTGTTGATCGAGCAACACGACATCTTTGCGAGGCGGCATGGTAATGTCGTGTGCAGTATTGGAAGCGTGAGACAAGACAGTGACGCAAAGGTGCGACTTTCAGCAGAAGGATTTTTCATTGAACACGACTGGACTGGGATAGAGATCCTGAGCAAAATTTCGTCGTTGTCCTCTTGGCTGGCGGCTTGGTAGTTTCGAACACGATGGAGGCTTTTAACGGTTCCGGATTCAAGACATTTATTTAAATTACAAACTTTGTACAATTTTATGTACAAGTAGGGGAAGTTTGCATCTCCGTCGAACTTCCTTCCGGTCGCTCCAAAGCAAGCAAAAATTGCCCCTTCCCTCCCCTTCACGAGTTCTTAAAACCTCAGTCGTTCTCGCCCTCGGGAAGGGATCGGCCAATAGGTTTGAAACCCCTCGGAGTCACGTGCTGCCCCCCGTCCAATGACCGACAGGGCGCATACAGGCACATTCGTCAAGTTCCCAACGAACTCGAGAAGACAGCCCCATAACTTCGACAGTGGTCGCCGTCGCCATCTTCGTGGCGCCACAGGGAGCCCCTGAGTCGAAACCCGATCGGGTACGGGGGGTGCGCCGAGCAGCCCCAGCGGCCTTCGTATATAAACAAAAAGATAACACTTCTCGCGCACAGCGGCCACCCCCGGGGGCTGCCCAACCTGCCTCGCACCGAGGCGCGCAAGTCCCTAACGAACCTGAGTGGAGAACCAAGTAACATCGATGGTGGTCGCCGTCTTCGCGTTAACACAGCGAACCCCTCGGTGGAAACCCGATCGGCCACGGAGGATGCGCCGAGTGGCAGCCGTCCCCGTATAAAAACAAGAAGAAAACACTTCCGCTCATGGTGACAACCCCGGGGGGTGTCCACCATGCCTTGCCCCAAGGCGCGCCAGCGGCGGACGCGCGGCCCGCTAGTAAAATAAACAAAACGAAACACTCCGCGGCGTCGCCCAACCTTACCCCTTCAACGCAGACTGTTGTACGGCATATAGACCGACAACAGTACACAGGATTCGGCGACTGGTGACGCTTTACCGGTCCAGGAACGGACATGCTTCATATGTACGCTCATAATAACATTTCTATGGGGACAGGAAGCAAACAAAACGAAACGATCGCGATTAGACACCACGCCACTGTCGCACGGCGAAACAGCCACTGCACCGCCGGTGAGTTAAGTCATTTTCTTACGCGCTGTACACTGTTCGGCCGGCACCCTGCGGCGCCAATCTGCAGTGCCCACCTGGGCAAGCGGGAACATTCACCTGCTCCCAAGGGTAACGTGGCTCCGCGCTACACATTACTCCAGCTGTTATTTCAAAGTCGCGACAGGGTGTCCGCGTTCCCGTTGTTTACCCCTTTACGGTGGGTGACCACACAGTCGTAACGCTTCAGCGTCAAAGCCCACGTCGTCAGTTTAGCCCCGTCCGTTGTGCTCGTGGTGAGGTAGGTCAAGGGGTCATGGTCGGGCACGTCGTTTATCCGGGCCCTAAATAACCAATAATCAAACTTATTCAGAGCCCAGATTATGGCAAACGCCTCGCGTTCGATGGTCGACCTGCGCATATGGGTCGGCGTGAAACGGTGGCTCGCAAAAGCGATGGGCTTCTCTACGCCGTCCCCTCTCATCTGCGTTAGGCAAGCGCCGGCAGCTGTTGCGGACGCGTCGGTAAAAAACCAGTAGGTTTGATTCGGTTCGGGTGTGCAGAGGGCCACGGCACCACAGAGCATCGACTTTAATTTTTGGAATGCCTCCTCTGCCTCGCTGGGCCACGATATCAGGTTGGGCACCCGTCGCTTTGTGAACGCGGTAAGAGGTATCGGCACCTCAGCGAAGTCGCGCTCATACTCCCGATAATACCCCATAAGTCCCAGGATGCTCCTCAACTCTTTCTTGGTCCGCGGCCCAGCTAGCCCGTCTATCGCCGTGAGCTTGTCCGGATCGGGTGCGTGCGAACGCTACCCCACTATGTGTCCCAAGTGCTTTATTTATACATATATATACAGGCGCCTCAGCAACATGGCACTTTTCAACGCTAGCCTTTAAGCCTCCTTGCTTAAGCGGCTGCAGCACAACACTTAAAAAAAGCCCGTGCGTCTACTTTCCCGCACAACACTCGGAGAGCCAATCAGCACAACTTACGGAGGCAGCTGAGCAAATGACGATGCCGAAACAACTGTTTGGACCAAAAAACGCAGTCTGAGTTGTGACATTAAGCAATGCAAGCGTGACGTTTTGCATTGCTTAATGTCACAAGTCAGACTGCGTTTTTTGGTCTAAACATATGTTTCGGCATCGTCATTCGCTGAGCCGCCTCCCTAAGTTGCGCTGATTGACTCTCCAAGCGTTGTGCGGGAAAGGAGACGCACGGACCTTTTTAATAGTGCACATCCACGTCCTCAAGATGTTCCTTCCAGGAACTGTAAAATATTGCTATATCACCCATGAAGCGGAGGCCTACGCCCAGTGCCTGAAAAACAGGCGGTTTATTATCCGTTGAAAGGTGGCCGCGGCATTCTTCAGGCCGAACGGCATCACCTTCCACGCGAATTGTTCTTTGTGCGTCACGAAGGCCGTTAAATGTTCGCTCTCGCGAGCCATGGGCACCTGCCAATACCCGCGCCGCGAATCGGCCACGGAGATGAACTTCGCGCTTTCTACTTTAAAAATAAACTCTCTCGGGTTGGTCATTGGGAACGCGTCCGGGTGTGTGGCGTGGTTAAGCCGCCGATAATCAACAGATAAGCGCACCGCGCCGCCTTTCTTGGCGACTCACATGATGGGATGAGCAAACGAGTTTTCGACAGGGTAAATTAGGTCCAGCTCGAGCAGTTGGCGAATATGCCGGCTAACCTCTTCTTTTAGGAGCTCGGGAATCCGGTACGAATTCCCGAGCCTTGGGTTTATGACCCTCCTCTAGTTCAATCTTGTGCTGGCCCACCATGGCTCTCCCGGGTGCCCCGCCGAATACTTCGCAATGGTGAGCGAACACCTTTAAGATTTGGTTCCTTGACTTTGCGTCGAGCTGTTCCAGTTTTGACACCGCGAGCTCTTCCGCGCCGTCCGAATCATTCCGAGGGGCATAGTCGTTCTCGCCAAAGTCCTCGTCTTCGTGGAACACCACGCCCACGTGCCCTGCTCGTGTATACTAAGGCGGAAGTCGGTTTGCGTGCACAATTGAAGTCTTTCTGTCGGGTTCCTCCAACCGGTAGGAGTTCTGTCTCTCTGCCCCGATAACGGTAAAGGGCCTGGTCCACCTCGGCGCAATCTTACCTGTTCGCTTGCAATCGAACAGCAAAACCTTGCCTCCCACCTGGAAGGACTTCTCCCGCGCGTTACGGTTGTACCTGTCCGTGTAATCGCCCTGCTGAATACTGCTGCTCAAGCTGGCCAGCTCCGCCGCGAATTCCAGCTGCTCTTTCAGCTGTTGTATGTACTTCGTGGGTTTTTTGCGAAGAGTACCGGGAATAGTCACCTTACCTGTCCACGTTTGCTGTGGTATAGCCAGTGGCCCACTAGGTCTCTACCGTAAAGAATACGGAAGGGAGACACCCCGGTAGTATCGTGCGGCCCCTTTCAATACGCCAAGATAACAAAAGGCACAAGCTTATCCCATTTCTTAGGGTCGCGTTGGATGGCATGAAACAACATATTCTTAAAGACGTGGTTCCATCTCTCCACGGCTCCGTTGCTCTCTGGGTATTCTGGCGCTAAAAACCACGGGGAGCAACACAGTCTTTCGAGCATCTGCTGCGTTAGCTTTGCGGTAAAGTTCGCACCCTGATCGCAGCACACGGTCTAGGGCCTCCCATATGACTGAATACTTTTAGGAGAGCCTCGCAGGTGGCCTTCGCAGTTAGTGAACGAAGGCAGACGGTTTTGGGCCACCGAGTACAAAGGTCCACCTTGCAAAGAGCATACCTTTGACCCCTCGCTGAGGGTACGCCGA